ACAAAAGCAAAATGTCCGCCATCTTCACCGGCCGCTGCCGCCGCCGCCGGGTCGGCCGGGGCCGCGCCGCGCCGCCTCCGCGCGACGGGCGGCTCCGCGGCGGGGCCGGGACGGCGGCGCAGGGCGGCGGGGAGGGGGCTCGGTTACCTTGATGCAGTAGGGCGGCTCGTCGAAGGTAACCAGCATGTACCTGTCGCCGCGGCTGGCCGGGTCCCGGGCCCGCAGCTGCGGAGAGAGCGGAGAGATACGGCGTGAGCAGGATGACGGGGCGGACGAGGGCGGCGGCGCCCGGCCCCGCACTCACCTTCATGAAGATCTCCACGGCGCCCTTGGCAATGTCCAGGTAGCTGGTGCCTAGATACGCCCGCTGGTTCATGGAGGCGGACGTGTCTATGAGGAAGAGGAGGATCGGCATGGTCCAGGCAGAGCGCCGGCCCGCCGGGCACCCTGCGGGGAGGAGGGAGCGGGCAGCGGCTCACCGCCCCCGGCCGCCGCCTGTCCGCCCGCCCCGGCTCCGCTCGCTCCGGCTGCGGCGCGTTACTGAGCTGCTGTGTTCGCCGAGACTCAACTTCTCTTCCCTGAGGTTCCACCAGCACCATGTGACCAGCGCGCACGCCATTGGCTGCGAATTATACCCACATTTGCATATTCATGAGGAGGGAGGCGGGTTGAGGAGGGAGGTGCCAGAGGAACCCTGCGCGCGCGCACACCTGTCAGCCCGCCCCGCCCCTCTGCGGGGTTCCCCGCCCTTCGCCCCAGGGGCTGCCCCGCCCGGCCCGGCCCGGCCCGGCGGCGGGGGAAACTCCGGGTAGCGACTCGGCGCCTCGCGGCCCGCTCTCGGCTCCGGCCCGCGGCACTCACTCCGCACGTCGCTCCCCCGGGCCGAGCCGCCGCCTCCGCCCCACACCTGCCCGCCGCGGCCTACCCTGGCTGCCTGAGCAGACGTGGAGCACGGAGTGGAGCAATGGGGCTAATCACCTGTGATATAACCGCTGTGCTCCCGGCCGCTGGAGGTTTCACTTAAGCACTAAATCCTCCGCCCTTCCATTTGCTGGTTTCTGGCCAGGCAACAGTTGTCTTCTGGAGTTCCAAAGCGGGACGTGGGGCCCCCACACCCCACCCCGTGCCAGTGGGGCACCCAGCTGAAGGCAGGGCAAACTGCAGCCAAACTTCCACAGCCAACACGCCGCCATCCCCACACCACACACCGCTCCCCTCTCAGGTGGGGGAATTCAAAACCCACCAGGCCTCAGTTCAGGCCGCTCAGCCGGGCCCTGCAGTCACAGCCCCAGTGCCAGCGATGGGCAGCACATCGGGCAGCATTCGGTGCCTGTCTGCTGGCGGTTACTCGTTTGCTTCCAGGATTGGATCCAAGAAACACAAAAGCAGTGCTGTCAACATGAATCTTAGTTAGCAGTAATTAAGTAGCTAATAATATTTTCCAGTGTTTTTACATGCAAAGGCTCTTTCTGCATATTTTTTCTCGCTCTTTGTTCAAATAATAAGCAGAGGCACAGTTCTCGCTCTGTTTCTCAAAGCTCCTTGGGCAATAGTTATTTCACAACACCGCAGGTGAATGCTAAAATCCCCATTACAAAGCGTTACAAAATGCAAAGGTTGGTAAAGATACCATTACCCATGTTGATCAAAATAATCAGATGTAAACCCAGGTAATTCAGGGATGCATTTGTTCCTTGTGGTCACAGAAACAATCAGGATACAAGAGAGTGCCAAATCTCCACATTGTTTGCAGAAAGAGGTTCGTGGGGGTTTGTTTTAAAAGCTTCTGCAAATATTTTTCACGTCACGTTATCAAAGTATTTAATTGTAGTGTGCTTTAAGTGGATTAATTAATAGTTGAGAAGCAGCTTATTTTGAAAACAAGTACTGTCAAACTTGGAGCCTCTCCATTCCATTATCTAGGCCCTCTCTGTAAGTTACATATCTGTGACTGCAGCTGTGTTTAAAGTTTCTGAATGTTAGCAATCATAGCAGAAATGCCAGGAGGGATAAACAGATAAATAATTTTATGTAAGTATTAGTGCATATCAATGGAGCCAGACTGCAGGAACAGGATTTGAATCTCTACAGATAAGGCAAAAATGCTGATACCATATTTTTTGTACTGCTGCACGTCAGGCTGGAAAGACAGCTCCTAGATAGGAATAGATTTGCTAAGGCCTGAATGGAAAGTAAACTATTGGTAGGAGATGCCAGCTAATACTGTTAGGTTCCTGCACTGAGAACTTGATGAGGCCACCTATGCATTTCTCTCACATCAACCAGATGAAGTCAGAGACTAACTTTTGATTCCAGCTGATCTCAGCCAATTCAGACTGGCAATCCAGGGGCCTCACGTCCTACAGTGTCCTCGAGCCAGGCTGCGTCAAATGCTCAACAATTACAAGTTCATACCCTCACATTTTCATGTTGATTTTTTTTTTTCTTAGCCCAGACTGCCTGAAATTTGAAAGCCAGTTCTCTCACATTCAAAGGTAATATTTAAAGGTCAAGACAAAACACTGTTTCCAGTTTCAGAGGGTGACCTTTCTAAGGGCAGCAGCAGGCAAGGTTCACATACTCTCCCTCTCTTGAGAATTCTGGCTTTCAGAGCTTGCTCCTGCTGGATACCACAAAAGCCACAGTCCAGCAACTTTCTGGGCATTACACAAGTCATTTACTTAAAGAGGTTTTTTTGTTTGTTTGTTTGTTTTTAATTATTATTACTGAAAATAATGGACACCACTGTTGCTAACATGCATGAATGCAGTAAGAGCAAGTAGTTCCATACTACTACCACTCTACAGAATTTGCCTTTTTCAGTGCTGACTACTTGGCAACTAAGGTGACAGACATTTGTTACATCTATAAAGTTCAAAGTATTCTTAATTTTCAATTGAAATTACACTCATTTCAATTTCTTTAGCTCTGATCATTAAGGAAATTTTCTCTAAGGGGAAATTAACCAGAACAGCTACTGCAGAGTAAGCTCCCCTACAATTAAATATTTTGAAATCACTCCTGTGTAGATACTCTGTCAAGCAGTAAAAAGAAGCATTATTTTGTAAGAATGATCAAACAGATCAATTGCATATTTTCCTGCTGCGCCAATAAGTTATTATTTTTCTGTTTCTTGTCCTAACACAGCATAACATCTAAGCTGTGGCATCTAACAGGTTTTAGCTTTAACAAATACTTCTTAACCCTTTTGTATTGCTTCATCTGTTATTTTTTTTTCTCCCCTACTTTCTTATCTGAAAAAGCAACATAGCTGTGAGACTCTAGCCCTGTTCCTTGGGACACCAAAGAACATCAGCTTTGGCACCACTTGGCCATATGAATCTGAGACGTGCTTGATACCTTAGTCAGAAAATATCCATTTAAAATCTGGTTCCAAGGCTAAATCCTTCAAACCTCCTTCCACTTATGCAGCTCCCTGTCTTGGTCTTGCAGTACAGCTGCCCTGATGACTTATTTAAAAAGCTTCAAGCCAGAGCAAAAATGGTAACTGTTCAGTAACTGTAAAAACAATAATGAATCCATGGGAAGTTGGGAAGCATAATCCTCATTAACCAGAAAAGGAGCTGCCACAGGGCTAAGGGATTTGTGTAGTAGCACATCAGACAAAAGTTTCAGTATTCACAGTGAGATTTTAGAGGTGTTCAGCACTTAGCCAGCCATAAATCTATATTGTCCCTTTCGGAAATATGAAATCTTTGATTTCAGTATGAATTTGTGTGCACTCCATCTCTACTAAGATTAAAAATAAAAACTTGTGCTAAATAATAACTTTATCCTTCCAAAGCTCTGGTAACTATATGGCAGAGTGGGGGTATAGAGAATTGTATCTGAGATGGCAGAAGCTGAGCAAATTCGAGACCTTTGATATTTTGTGCTCTATCAGGGCTAAATACTCTCACCACTCAGCAGTTTGCCATTCTTGAGCCAGACAATGGAAGAGAACAGGCTTCTTCTGCCACTGTGTCACACAGCCCCTTCTGGAAAGAAAAAAAACACAAAAACAAATACAACAACAAAAAGTAGACGAGAATGTTCCAGGACATTGCTCAGCAGCACTTTTTTTCCTTTCTGATTTTTAAGTACGCTACGTGCTTCCACAAACTGTAACTCAGCCCTTAAAGGCTTCTGCCCCCTCCACTTGCTCCATTTTCCTTTCAGTTATCCCTCCACTAAAGACAAGTCAGTTTGAAAGTCAGTCAGCTTTCTACAACATTTGAAGAGTGTGCGTTTGCAGAGTAGAGGACAGTAACTGAAGCTGAGGTGCAAATCCCACATTACTGTGTGCCTTCAGACTTTGTGTGAACCTCTCATGGCACTTGAATTTCTTTTCACAGGCTTCAGTGAATTCAAAAATTCCATTTTCAGCTGAAGTATAAGAAATAGACAACAGATACATGCCCTGTCTGCAGCCCATTTTCTGCTGATTTATTGACTGTGCATAAATACAGCACTATAACTGTCATATTTAACCACAAAAGAGAAAGCTCTATGCTCAGGAAAATAATTCAAGGAACATCTGAGAGTTTCATTAAGTCATGTCATCTCTTCCATGCAGTAAAAGACGCCTTTTAGTGAAGGGGAAGAGTCCAGCCAGCATTGTTTCCTCTCTCTCTCTCTCTCTCTCCCCCACCCCAAACCCACAGTTTAAGCCTTTGCTGTACATTACAGAGGCCAGGAAGGTGGGCAAGGTTGCATTTCAGTTCTGTTGCAACCACACTGAGGAGAGATGTGAACCTCCAGCTACACTCCTTGCCACACAGCCATTCCTAGAAAGCTGCTGCCAGCAGGGCAGCAACAGTGCACAAACACAGCTCCACAAAACAGACTGAACTGTCCTGTCTTTGGCTCTTTCAGGAAAGAAAGCACAATCCTCAGGCCCTCACAGGGCTGCCAGCTGCATCCACCAAAGAGTATCATGGTCCAGAGGGCTCCCAAGTGTCTCTGCAAGGTTTCCACGTGAACACAGCTGACACTGCCTGTGGTCCAAAGGTAAAAGACAGATCACCACTACCTGCATAACAGCAGGTACAGTTTAATTTCTATTTTGCTTTAAAGACCAGTGAGAAGGCTATGAAGAAGTGATTGATTGCATAAGATGGTGGATCGTTTTGCAATAGTGGTAGATAAGCAAAACTCTGACAAAATGTCTCCGAGGAGAAGCTTTGAACAGCAAAACATGCTGTAACAAACTTCCAGAGGCTCTCCATTTGAGAGCTGATTTCAAAGTCCAACAATCCCTCCAGAGAAGAAACAACATTCAGAAAGTTTGAAGCAATAACAGAAAGCAACAACAAACAAAAACCATCCTGACTACTGGAAAAGAAACCGAAACAGTAAGTATAGCAAGCTGGAGAAATGAGTTACTGTGAACGTGAAGATGAGAAAAAGAAATTAGAATACTGCACATATCTATGCATCCGCAGAGAGATACAAAATCTAAAATACGGGCCTCAGCATCTTTGTGATCAAACTGCAAATAGCATCAGATTAAGACCCTGCAAATCTCACTGAGTTTTCCCAACAAAGATTATCATCTCTTATGCATGCTGGGAGACAACAGAGAAAAGAACAGAAGGATTTCTGGTGGCCTGAGGCAGGAGCTGTGTGTAGCAGGCAGTCACAGCCACAAGCAGGGGCTCAGAGGCTGGAGGAGCCCTGGGGATGCTCTGACCTGTAGGTGCGTTTTGAATTGACAGCCAGCCAAGAACTGTGTGAAATTCCCCATTACTTCCTTTTACTGGTCTTATGCTAAATGTTGCTAAGCTGTACCTGGGAACTGGGCCAAAGCAGCTTGAGAATCTTTGGATGAAAGGCATTATATTAAAAAAACATATATATATAAATCTGGAGTAGTACGCATGTGGAAAGCAGCAATGTGAACTACATGAACGTGCAAAGTAACAAGATTTGTTTTTTATTTATTCTACAAGGCAAAATACAAGATAGACAAAGAACACTCACATAGGCTGGGGATCTACTCTGAACTGAGAGATTTTACCATAAAGGTAAAGCCACACCTGTTTCATTGCTGGACACAGTTATGGCTTTCTACTATATCATCTATGCACGTCTTGCTTGCAAGAGAAGTTACCCCTTACAGCTTTCAAAAGTATCTCCAACAGAGAAAGTTTACCTGATGGTGCATTCCACATCCTGCCTGCACCTGATCCAAAGCACACCAAGCCCACTGCAAGTCTCAGGGAGCCCCAAGTTCTGTACATACCCACGACTCTGCTTTTGGGCTGTGAGTCACTCTTCAGCCCTCAGCATCATTTCAGTCCACAGGGGAACACCCACTATCCCCAGCCAGCACAGAGATGGGGCACAAGGTAGTGTCTCAGAAAAAACATCACTTTAATAGGTCATCATTTTCACCTTGCTGAAACTGAATTTTTTAATGGCCTCAATACATTTATCATTATTTAGTTGTCAAGAAAACAAAACTACAACAAAACAAACAAACAAAAACAACACAAAGCTACTACAGAAAACACTGTGTAACGAAAATGCTTATGGTAAAATACAAGGCATTTAGAAAATGTTATTTTTTCCCCAGAAGAGTTCAGAATTTTATCCAAATGACTGTTTTTCACTGAAGATGGTTAAAGAAACAGGATTGTCTACACAAAGCACAAGCTTTAGTGCTACATAAGCTGCTACTGTTCCTCCTACAGACCTTCAACCAGCATCTTCTGCAGCTACCTGGCCTTCCTGCCTTGGTTTCCCCAAGCTGCACAATGACTTATTTTGCTGCTATCACTCCTCACCCTGCCCCCAGTCTGAAAGCCACTCAAAACTGTGCCAAGCCCTCAGTAAAAAGACAAGAAATCAACCCTGCCCTGTAGTTCTCTCAAGCTAATTTCAGACATGATCTAATGAGTGGGTGGTAACAAAACAACAAGGCGGGACAGGAGAGAAAGGCCCAAGAAGCACTGCTGGCATTAGAAGGAAACTCAGCAAAAAGCAAGTGTACAGGAGAACAAAACAAAGGTACTTTATTAGTCAATAATTAGTTTTATTTTAGATAACCAAGGAAGAGGAGGGAAAGGCTCACCTCCTTAAGTATCCAGTAGGTGTTTGGAACATGTTTCCAGTAAAAGCATAATCAGAGACAAAACCTTTGTCTTGTTAGATCAGCTCCACGCATAGGATGACACGATGAAAGGAGATGGCAGGAGCAGGCAGTGAGGTGCAGCAGGACTGCCAGCAGCACAGACCATACAGGAAACTCACAGAACTGAGACACAGCAGCAAACCTTTGCTTTGAGTTTTGAAGAGCTTGAATCTGATGCAGTGGGACACACACAACAAAAGGCACAAGGTGGAAAACTGCAAGTCTGCCAGAATGAAAGGACAGCAAGGTCTCTAGCAGATGCTTTCCCATGAGTCTGAAGACACCTGCATTTGCCTTTCTCAAACTGGATATTGATGCCAGATGGGAACATAGAGAAGAGAGCAACTTTTTATTTAATTTTTTATCTCCTTCTCTTAAGATTTACCCATGTCAGAAGATGCAGCACTGACTCTGGACTAAATGGGGAGGGAAAAAAAAGCCACAAAGAAAAAACAAACAAAAAGAAAAAAGCCAACAACCCACACATTCTGCTCTCTGTTCCTGTTTAGCTCTGCTGACGTTGCTCAGTACAGCCTTACTGAACTTCCTGATCTCTCAGGTCCCAATTTTGTCACATCCTTGCACTCAATCAAATTCTGTGTATTAAGCTTGAAGGTTTGTTGGCAGTTAAGAGGACTTCAAATCCAGACATTTCTCCTGTTTACTTGCCGTGTGCTCTTATCTACTTTAGGATATGAATGCAACCTCAAACTGGAGAGGTTTAAAGAGCAGTTTTCTCTTCCTTTCAGAAACTTTTGGCAACTTCTAGGAGCTGAAGGCTAATTATTTTAGCACAAGGAGGGACCAAATAATCTTTTAATATAGTATTCCTGTATAAGGTTTCCTCAGCACTTCTACCTGAGAGAAAGAAGAAAGAGCAGTAATAAGAAGTCTACATTTATCTTTTTGAGGTACAGAACAGCTTCACTACAAGAAGAAATTAAATAAGCAAAAGCTCTTCAGGTTGGAAAAAAAAAATTAATGACCGCAGAGAGAAGTGATAGCAGTCTATAAAATCCTGAATGGAGATGGGAGATGCAGTGTAACTGTTTGCTTTCTCTTCTAATATAAAAGCTGAAGGAGCATCCAACAAAGTCATTACGCAGGTTTAAAACCAACACACCCAAAAGAAAGCACTCTTTGGTGCAGTCCATCATTACACAGTGGCAGTCATTGCTTCAAGAGATTGCGGAGGCTAAAAATGGATTTTAAAAGACATCACACAAATTCATGGACAGTGTGATCAACAGCAAATAAATACAGTTTACAATACTGTAAATGAAACCTCTGGGTTTTCCCAGAACCTTTACCACACTGATCTCCCAAAGCCAGGAGGATACACAGGATACACCAAGCCAAGATGTTTGTGCACGTGCACTTTTTCTGCATCTCTCACCATCTGCCACTGGCTGTTCCTGGAAACAGCGTGGCAGTTCCTGTTGCTCAGTGCAGAGCTACAAGGCCAAGTGGTGCATGTTAGTAATGAGTGGTCAAGAGTTCTCTGCATTCTCCTGCTTGGCTCTTTCATATCTTCTGGCAGCCTTTCTCTTAAGGTAGAAGATACTTCTGGCAAAGCTTCACAGTCCAACCAACCACTGTCCCTGCAGCAAAGATACTAGCAATTGTGTAGAGAGAATGTAGCATTCACTCTTTCCAGTTAAGTGCAAATCTCACATTAAAACAAGGAAAAATGTAATTTATGTTTTTGCATTTAATTGTGGCCTCTGTATCTCATATTCAGTTTTGAAAGAGAAGACATTGCAGCTGCCCTCCATTCTCAGTAAAAAAAAAAAAAAAAGTTCCCAATCCTCAGTAACAATTTGATGCTGTTTACAAAACAGTAGAGGCGTATTAAGGCCTCCA